CCACGGGACCCCCCCCTACCTTCTCAGCCTCGTCCCGCTGCACTTTGCGCTTGCCCTCCATGTCGCACTTGTTGCCGATGAGGAGACGCTCGACCCCGGCAGAGGCGTTCTGTGGGCAGGAGAGGACGGGCAGGACCCCCCCGACCCCCCCGCGTCCCCAGCCCTGGCGCACACCCACCTCCTTGATGCTTTTCATCCAGTTTTGGATATTCTCAAAGGATTTCTCATCGGTGATGTCGTACACCAGGATGATGCCCTGCCAGGACGGCGCAGTCAGTGGGGCAGGGACCCTCTTGGGGGGGGTCTCATCCCCAGGAGGGCACAGTCCCCCCCCCCGAGCTGCCCCAGCCCTTTTGGGGGCTGCCAGCACCCCGCTCCGTACCACGGCTCCCCGGTAATAGGCCGTTGTGATGGTTTTGAAGCGTTCTTGTCCTGCCGTGTCCCTGTGGGAGAGGCAGAGGAGGGTGAGAGCGGCTCAGGAGGAAGCTGGGGGGGCCCCCCAGGAGGGCACAGTCCCCCCCCCCGAGCTGCCCCAGCCCTTTTGGGGGCTGCCAGCACCCCGCTCCGTACCACGGCTCCCCGGTAATAGGCCGTTGTGATGGTTTTGAAGCGTTCTTGTCCTGCCGTGTCCCTGTGGGAGAGGCAGAGGAGGGTGAGAGCGGCTCAGGAGGAAGCTGGGGGGTCCCCAATCCCAATCCCACCCCCCACCCCCCCTTCCCAACTTACCAGACCTGCAGCTTGATCTTCTTCCCATCGATGTCCACCGTCCGGATTTTGAAGTCGATCCCTGGGATGGGAGGAGAGAAACATGATGGGATGGTGATGCCAGGAGCTGCTATAAACAGTTCCACTCCCAGTCCCAGTCTCCATTTTCCCAGTAACCATCTGGCACCCCGGGAAAGGGGAGGGAGGGCCAAGTCCAGGCCTGGCACTGGCTGCAGTGGGTGGGAGGGGGGCACCGGCAGCATCCCCGAGCCGGCCGGCCACGGCCTTCCCGCCGGGTGGGCTTACCCCGCGGGGCCGCCCGCGGCGCCCG